CCTCCATCTTTAATGGTTGCAAAATATATCAAGGTTAGTGAACTTTTTTTATTTTTCCCCAGGATCGTTTACGTCCGTGCAATTATCTCTGTCCATCACATTGTTTTAGCTATTTACCAGTGGTTCCTTTACGGGTAGGTTTCTAGTTGACCTCATTTTTAATTGTCCTGTGTAGGGCCTATCCTATCCCTAGTGATTTCCGGGTTGCCAGTAAATGATGAATGATCACAAAGACCTGTGTAATGACGCCTGAACTGACTAATTTTCTCAGCGCGGTTACAAAGTATGGTGGTAAATTTTTAGGGTGCTGAGAACTGTGTGATCCGGGTTGGTGTATTAATTAGTTGATGTAACTATTTAAACCTAGAATTTGCTTATACCTTTTGCATAGCCCGTTATTTTGCTGCTGAAAACAGATATTGAAGTCTCCCAGTATTATTGTCTCGCAATTGTTTTCAAGTCCGGGAAAATACTCTGAAAGTCTTCTAAGAACTGGTCCTGGGGAGGAGGGCGGTAACTAGTTCCTACTAATATGGGTTTGGTCTTGGGAAGCAGCAAATTCAACCATAGAAAACTCCAGTTTATTGTTTTTTAATCAGGCCTTGGGTTGTAAGCTAAGTCATTTCTAATGTAGGCACATAATCCACCACCCTTTCTGTTCCTATCTCAGCGTTTTATATTGTAACCTTCTATTTTGACCTCTTCGTCAGTCACCGTATCATCCAACCAGGATTCAGAGATGGTTATAACTGCCGCCCTAATTTTGTTAGCTAGAATCCTAATCTCTGCCAATTTAGGAAGAAGTGATCTTGCATTGACATGAATAAAGTGAAGGCCTGTTTTCATAAAACAATTATAATCATCAATGTATGGCAATGGGCCATTTGTATTAAAATTAGGTAAATCAATGTCATCATTGCTAAAGGGTAACTGTGGGCCAAAGTGCATTTGTTACACACAAAAGAATTCTGGCACCAAATTTCTATAAAATTTTACATACATCCTTCATGCACCCACCCCTTACACCCTTTTACATAAGGTGCCCTTTTTTGTTTTTCATGCGTACTTAGTACAGTGTATGCACCTGTTTGGTAGTGTTTGGAGATAATAATGGCTGTACTGTCTCACATTGACCTATGTATGCATTACATATGGAGTTAAGGTTATCATTCCTAGCTACCCAACCGCATTTTCGCCGTCTTTATCTGTCTGTTTTGCCTCTTGCACAATAGTTGAGGTCCTGGGTTTTAATTTGGATATCACCACTTAAGAGTGCTACAATAAGAGCTGTGTGCCACTGTTTTTGTTTGGGTATGCGGTGTTTCCATACCTTGCAGCGAAGTGACATTTACTTTTCTGGTAGGATGGCAAAATGTTGGGCTTTTTCTGTCCAGGGCGCTTTACTCCATTCACCTTTTTCAGCCCCCATTGACTGATTTCTTTCTTCATGGGAAATTGAAGAAGAAAGATAAATGTAATTATGGCAGCCTGTACCCCCTAATGCCTGCCCTTTTCACTCTTCGCTCTTTTACTCAAATACAATAATATTTAAATTTTCCCTTTTTTCCCGTCCCTAGTACACTTAGTATCTGCTTTAGCAATCACCACTGAATTACTAGTAAATTTTCTTTTTTTTTCAAAAAACCCCCTTCACTGCTCACTTTTCCCTTAACTTCACACACCCCTTTCAGTTAACCCCTTATTACACACTCCCCTTCCCCACCTCACTTCACAGTCCGGCTTCACCAATTAACTTCTAACTCCTTTCCATTCTGGTAGACCAGAAAGGTTTAATCAAGGGTTTTATCCTTCCAAATCCCCCTCAGTTCCATTTATCGGGGGTTGTGTCGCGTTGTTGACTCGTGACCTGGTTTGCTGAATCTGCCATTTTTAAAGCATTGAGGGAAGTAAACGCCACCTACAACCTGGAGTTCCTTGAGTATATAGATTTATTTGGCGTTTTCTGCTATGATTCTCTCGCTGTACACTGGTCAGCTGAATATAGGTCAGCTACTAAAACATTAACCTTGACTGTTTAACTATTCACTTCTTTCCCACGACTGGCACTGAGGGATAACCGTCCTATAACCTTGGAGTTTTGTACTGTTGATTTGACGATGTCTCCTGTGTTTCCCTCTCGTTAGCACTGGTACAGGTGATATGATGGTGGTACAGATATGATGCTACTGTCAACAGATGAACGTCAGTAAAGATGAGAATTTCACTTCACTAGTTGTACATCTGGCAGTAGCGGCTGTTTGGATGCCGGTCAGCCATGTTTAAATGCTCAATTCTTTCCCTCGTTTGGCACTGAGGAAAAAAGTCCTACAGACCTGTCATTTCCTTGGAGTTTAGTTGATCAGGTTTTCTGCCACGTTGTCTTCCCGTTGAACACTGGTGCAGTTGATATGGAGGTCAGTATTTCATTGTAATGGAAAACGTCTCATGTCTGACAGCAGGTCTGGTACTTCAATGACAGTCCCTCTTTTGTCATATTTAGTCTATTTCATTGTTGTCACCGTCAGTTTTTATGTCACTATAGGTTCCTTGCATGTTGTTGCAGCAGTACTTGCAATTTGGCCATCACTGGAGTTCGGATAGGCCCAGGGGATGGCAAGATATAGGAGCAGCCTTGTTGCTGCTTGCTGCGGCTGCGGCCGAGAGTGGACATTTTCCCATGGTGTTCCTTCCAAAAATCTGTTCTTATGTTACAGTTTAAAAACTAGTGTAAAGCACTCTTCTGTCAAGACAGTGATGGAGTGAATGATGGTGAAAGTTTTTCTTTTTCAAGCCACCCTGCCTTGGTGGAAATTGGCCAGTGTGCTAATAAAAAAAAAAAATTATATTCCTTTGAACCTTTAATGCATTGACAGACTTCAGTTGGATAATCTGAGATTGCAACAGTGGCAGTTTCCAAAACCACTTGCAGAAACTGTAGCAGACAACTGTTAAAATTCTAGACCTGTAATACTGTACTTTTAACCCTAAAACGGTCCAAAGAGATTGACGTTCAAATTCGTAGTGCTACAAAAGTAGATCTACTTTTTTTTTACATATTTTCAAATATAACAAAAAAAAAATGTAGATAAAAGTTTTTTTACATGTTTTCAAATGTAAAACAAAAAAGATCTACATTTTTTTACATACTTTCAGATGTTGAAAAAACGTATATATACATTTGGACCATTTAAGGGTTAAAAAGTAATGTAGTTTAGACCTAGTTGAATTTTTCCCAATTCTGTTGCTAATTTTTGTTGTTTTTCATGTATTTCAACCAATTACTTGCTCAACATCTCGCTACACATTTTCAGAAATATATGTAATTAATTATTTATCTCAAATAAACAAAAGACACAGGTACAGAGTAAGGTTTCATTGTTACAGTATTTTCCTCCATGTAGAGCAAAACTCAAAACACTTAGTAGCAGTAAACAGTCACAAAAACAATTTCTCAGTGTACAAGTAACATTTTGCATGACACCCATGGTATGCTTGCTCTGCACCTCTCTTCTTCACCACCAGCAGTACATTTGTATCCTGTCTTATCTTCTTGCCTGTGTCCCATTCTTTCTATAGATTTGCATCTGTTACATATTATTTTAAAAGTTAACTATTTCCTGCAAAACAGTTTACTATTCTCTATTTTGTGATAGCCTGTTTCTCATGCTTCCATATTACCTGTTACAAATACATAAATGTACCTTTTTGGTTTCTCCTTCAAGTATTCTTATTTTCAGTTAATACATCTTAAATCTTACCTAACTTTGTTTATTTAGATTACAGCCTCTCCTCACTTAACGACAGAGTTCTGTTCCTAAGACCATGTTGGTAAACGAATTCATCGCTACGCGAGGAGCATACTATAATGGTAGTGGGTTTGTGTTAATCACTTTAAAACAATATCAAATGTCACCTTTGCACAATTTATAACATTTCTGATACATTTTTAAATATTTATAGTGTACTGTGTATTGTAATAAACAGAATACAGGAGCTCTAATATACACTAGGTATGCATACTGGTCAGAGAGCCTGTCATAAGTCAGAGTCGTCAGTAAACAAGTATGTCACTAAGTGAGGAGAGGCTGTATTTACACAGAGATATTCAGTGATGTGAGCACGTGAATTGTTTTAATAAACCTATTACAGCCTCTCCTCCCCTAAAAACAGTTTTCTTCCTAATACCGCGTCGGTAAACGAATTCGTCGCTCAACGAGGAGCATACTATAACGGTAGTGGGTTTATGTCAACCATCTTTGATATTGCTATAAATGATGCAAGAGTGACATTAAAACACTTTTAGTATATTTATAAATGTTTATACAGTAGTGTACTGTATATTATAATAAACAGAACAGAGGAAATCAGCTCTATGCACCTACCATCCAACTTACGACCTGCTCGACTTACGACCACTCGACTTACGACCGTGTGTTTTTTTTTTTTTTCCAAATTTCTGGGAAATAAACAACTATTTGTGTTGTACACAGTGTTTATCCTAAACCTTACAGTATACAATACAGTACTAACAGCATAAAAAGTAAAGTAAAACATGAAATACCAAAATAAAACAATAAAATAAAGTCATTACAAAAATGTGATGTTGATATTCAGTAGTAAAGTTCGACTTACATCCATTTCGACTTACGACCGGTTTCTCGGAACCGAACTCGGTCATAAGTCGGATGGTAGGTGTACATTTAGATATGCATACTGGTCACAGAGGCCGTTGTAAGTCCGAGTCGTGTTAGTAAGCGAGTACGTCGCTAAGTGAGGAGAGTCTGTATTTAATAAACCTATTATAACTGAAGAAGAGAAATTTTAGTAGGAGAGGTGGGAATATGCCTTTGGCAAGACATTGGTAGAGCAAGTGATAATGAAAGTGTTTCTTCTTTATTTGGATCACCCTACCATGGAGGGAGATGGCCAATTTGTTAAAAAACAAGTGTATATTTTGAACTGTATATACATATGAAAGAACATGTCTTTGTTTTCCACAGGTATACAGCAACATGTGATGTTTTCTAGTCTTGGGATACTTCTTGGCATTAGTGCCACTAGATGGCTAGCACAGAGAGCGGCTGAGAGGGACCACATTTATTACCATTATATGCTTGCTCACCCGGATGATTTTCCACCTATTGGTATGTACCATAAATGGGTTTGATTTTTCTTGGCAGTCATAAATTTTATTTAACAAATCAGCAACTTCATCTTTGTCATCATTAATCTTACATACTGTATGTGACATACCACCACACTTGTCATCATGGCAGAAATCACTTCCTTAAAACCCACTCAAAGTGATTACATGCCTTTCTGTTTACCCACAATCTTTTTCACTGTTCTGTCCTACCCTAGTCCTTTTCCCCTACATCAGTGTTACCCCTTGGATGGCCTAACAAACAAAAAAGTGACATACCCTGTGACGGATTTCAAGGGATCGAATTACGAACATAGTTGGTGATGCTCTTGCCTTGCACAAAGATTAAAGCTAACACTGTCTTCACCCTTGGTTTTCCCAAAATAATGTGCATCGTATGAGCCCTTCAGAGTGTACCATGACCAAATTGTTATCCTGCCCAAATAACTAGTGCTAATGCCTTTTTTTTTTTTTTTTTTTTCCCCTTTTACCATATCGGTTGTCTACCAAGACAGAAATGACAAGCTGTCTTGGCAGATGTGCGTAGACATCACAGTCAGAATGATCCTCTGAACCACGTCTCCATAAATCATTTATCAAGAAAAGTGTCAAAAAAATGGCCACCATTTCTCAGCGGGAAGTCATGCACAGTACTTAGTTACATATTAAAAAAAAAATTCCATTATGGGGGGAACTTGCAATGTGACTGGTAACTCTCATAATGATACACAAATATATATAGAAGCCTGGAAGTTAGGTAATCTTCCACTCTTGCCTCCCTCTTCCCTTCCAAAATTATATTAGACAAAGAAGTTATGAAAAAATTTAAGGATGTGTATGTGAAATATTGACTTGCCATCAATACAAGAATTTTCATGCATTTTTGTTTTCACAAGCTTAATTTTAAATTCGTAAAATTTGGACAGAGCTTTTGAATTATACATACTATACTATACTGTACTTAATGATTCCTGAACATTTAAACTAATTCTAAGGGATGTATCTTTACTTAACATGTTTTTATCTTACACCCATGCAATGCATGTGCACATTTAAAATTATCTTTACTTCAAATATTTAAAAAAAAATTAATATTAGCCATTTTCTTGAAGATGTGTGCATGCATACAGACAAATAATTTAACACCCTTTTTTTTTCAGAAAGGAAGAAATATGCTGAAGTCATAGAAAAATGGGTTCCTATCCGCTGATGTACCTCACTCGGTCAAGATAGTGCAGTCTTATTTGATCTACACAACTCAGATTATCTTTCTTGTTTTCTCATTGTTCTATAAGAAAGACTATTTTGTGTGGTAAGGCATTTCTGTCATACTGTACACTGAAGTGCATCATAAGTCAAAATCTGTATATTAAAAGGCTTAAAATACAAATTACTGAACTTCAACATGTTACTTATGACAGACTGGGTGGTACTGTCATATTATGCCCTGAGGATAATATAGATATGTATATATAAATAAAATCTTCATATTTTACTCTTTCTGAAATCCTTAATATTAATAAACTATTTACTAATCATGTTTCAGTTGACTAAAATGGCGATTGTAATATCAAGGTTAGGTTGAACTGTATTTTGGAATGGTTCAACTGGGCATGGAATTGTAGTTCTTAAAATCTTTCTTTCAATACACAGGCCATATCCCACTGAAGCAGGGTGGCCCAAAAAGAAAAACGAAAATTTCTATTTATAAATTTAGGAATATATATAGGAGAAGGGGTTACTAGCCCCTTGCTCCTGGAATTTTAGTTGCCTCTTAAGACATGCATAGCTTACAGAGGAAGAATTCTGTTCCACTTCCCCATGGAGATAAGAGGAAATGAACAAGAACTAGTAAGGAAATAGAAGAAAACCCAGAGGGTGTGTGTGTATGTGCATATATGCTTGTCTATGCATGTGCAGTGTGACCCAAGTGCAAGTAAAAGTAGCAAGACGTACAGTAGGGCCCCACTTATACGGCAGGTTAGGTTCCAGGCTACTGCCAGAAAGCAGAACGCCATTTTTTTCACTCATAAATGCATATATGTAAATGCCAGATAAGTTTACACTAACATATATTAAGTTAGCAATAGAACTAGGCATTAAAAACAATAAAAAGTAAAATACAAACACAGTACAGCCATTACTTACCTTAAAATATTTGTAGTCTTAATGTAGGGTGAGGTGAGTTTTATTTGTAGGAAGTCAGGTTTGTGAAGTATGGTAGCCAGTCAGGGCAACCCTCCCCGCCCTGCCCCGCCCCACCCCTCCCACACAATGTAAACAAACCAGGTGAATGCATCTGGTTTTCATTCATACACTTTTTGTATTATACCCTAATACAAATGCTTTACATTGCATAGAAGTTGTCTCCACGTTAATACAGTAGAATAAATAGAGAGAAACATTCCCATTCTCATGTAACACCATTTTTAGAAGAAATGATGCTCTGAGTGAAGGCATATGGAAATACGTAAGTCACTTTGACTTTTTTGGGTTGTCTTAGGTTCTCTACACATATGCTATGTATGATAATTATGTAACTATCTGTGTATACATGAATAAAATTATATACGAAAGGAATAATTTTCTAGTTACCCCCAGTAACATTATAGTGTACACATTTTCTCTGATGGACTACAAGTCGCCTGGCTACCACATCTCATATTTGTTAATTTATTCTACTGTGGGGTGTATTTATCATGTTTATTATATAATTTTGAAAAAAAAAATCATAGATGGATTAATGGAAATGTCTATATTAATGTAATATACAACATTTAATGCACCTAAGAGATTACGTACATGTATTATTAATATGGCATCAAGAGTAGAGAGACTAGGTGATTTTAATGTGTACCTGCATGCCAGCACAGTGTGTAAGTAAATTTAGGTACAAGTACACATAAGTATAATTATCAGAGTACATATAAAATATGCAATAACTTAAAAACACTTGAAAATTTGGAAAGTGAAACTTTCCAAAATTTCAAGACATAATAGAGAAATGTGCTCATGGAGAATGTAAACAAACCGGGTGGGGCACACCATATTAGAAAGACCAGGAGCCGTATATCAAGTTTTGCTCGTAATTTGAAAGCGCCGTATTAGTGGAACACCGTAAGGCAAAACACCATAAAGCAGGGCCCTACTGTACCTGATCTCTTTAAGGGGGGCTCTTTGCAGTGGTAAAGAGGCTATCGGTCTGAGGAATTGGACCTCTTGGTTTTCTTCCTCCGACCAAACCTAATTACCCCCAATCCTCCCTTCCCTACTCCACCCTCCCCTTTCCTACCCTTGTTTCCCATCCCATTTGTAGCCTCTGGGGTCCTTCCCTCTGGCATTACAGTTTCTAGGTAGGAGGTGGTGTGCCGGGGTTCGTCCCACTCCGTGAGGTCCCTCGGGGGTGGTGTGGTTTGCCGTAGAATCTATTATCCGGAGGTGCCCTGCTCCCTTCCCTGATTTCCAGGAAGAGGGCGGGGTGCCCCTTGGGTAATGGGTGTATCTCCGGAAATTGCCTGTCGGTTCTGGGAGGTGGCACGGCCAAAGGGGTAATGCTTTGTGCGGGG